GTAGTGTGTGTGTGTGTGTGTGTGTGTGTGTGTGTGTGTGTGTGTGTGTGTGTGTGTTAAAAATATATATTACAAAATGATAAAATTCAGAATGCGCAATAATTTAATTCTAACAGATACCTTTAACATTTTAACATTTTTTTTTATAAATTTTGATTAGATTTTAAAATAAATATACTTCTATAGATGCACAATTTATTGCAAAAGGATAAATCGTGCGAGGATCAATATTAATTAAATGTTATTTTACAATTTATTCCTTGTATAAGTGAAATAATTAATTAAAACTCAGATCTCTTTGTACCATCAAAGAGTTAATTACTAATATATTCGAAGTTGAGTTTTTTATTATATAATAATAGAACAATGACCTGAATGGTACATTAACATAAATTAAATTTCTGGTTAATGTTTCGGGCATGTTTTGATGCTGACACGCGCGTTTCTCGCGAACTTTGAACCTTAATTTGAGGAGTGCCGATGTGTCGTTGCGGTATCAGCCTGTAGATTATTAACCGTGTGAAGAGACAGATATATTTGTTTACGTCATTGTGAAATTTCATAATTAGTGCCACGTGCTTTTGGACATGACGCTTTCGTCATTCTAAGCTACTCGAAAACAAGGTATTTGGTAATCAAGATTTAGCTCTACGGAATTATGATAGATTATTATCACTTGTACTTCTGATGAATGATAACTGATATCGACATCGAAACAAAAAAAACATCACGTTTTAATTTAATCCGTACCATACGTATTTTTATTGAAATCGCGTATTACTCTTTCCCCTATAAATTTCTCTTAAAATTTATGCGATATGTCTTGTTTACGTTAGAACTGAGACAAGAAAAAGATTGAGTTATCTTCGGTCACGTGCGATTAAGAAAAGTCACTTTTGTGTAATACATAATCATCTTAATCATTCAATGGAAGAGCTTGTCAAGTGTTGACCTACTTTTGTCGCAATTGCGAGACGATTACCAGCAATCGAAAGCAATTAATTAGTCTGGCAAATGCAAGTTTTTGAATGATGTTAAAAAATTCTTCGAGGTAAACTTTATTTATTTGTCATAGTTAATAATAACGTACAATTTTATATCTCAATATAACTGCAGACTATACACCTCACTTGTATATAATTTTTCATTTGAAAGAAGTAAAAACTGTGAGTTATGTCTCGAGTTAAACGTGTAATATTTTATACAGCAAAATCTTTACATTTTTCATCAACTTCATGAACTTATAATCATTATTTATTCAAATTTGATATTTATAGTGTGAAAATTAGTTGTAAAATAAAACTGCTTTGTGATCAAGTCTTCGTCACCGGATGTATCTAATCAAATATTTAATGTCAACGTGAGCTTCAAAAACGTAGCGCAACTAATTGCTAAGACTCCAATTAATTTTTTTCTTTCGTCTACCTGCAATAGTAATAATTTAACTATCTCTTTTGTTTGTCGCAAGATGTTCCCTCTCCCGCATCCTCGCTTTTGGATTTTTCATTTTCGCTCGTAATCTACCGGGCTTGGAGAAAGACTGAAGGATGAAAATAAGTGCGGAGGTTAATGTACTTCCTGCTGAACTCGATGGATGCACAGGGTGAATGTATTCGTGACGATCAGCGACCTTTGCTCGATCCAAGTGCGTTGTTTTGCCTTAAACGGCCAATAGTGCGCACGTGCGCATCAATGCGTCATGTTGCTCGCCGCGCGGAGAGACAGAAAGTGACGTCACGGAAAATATGATATCACGATATCCGCTTGTATTTGCATCTTTGGCGCTCTGACGGTTTCTTTCTTTACTTATAAATCCGTTAAAACTAAAAATTGAAAAAAATTTTATTGAAAATTTATTTTTCATTGACCGCAGTTATTAACTGCAGTTCTCACGTATACATTTACGTTTGCTTTTGTCTCATTCAGTGCGATGACTCTACAGACATGTACATCATGACGTGCTTGAATTTTCATTTTTATGATTCGAGCGCAAAATTTTCGGTATTCAAATTATCCATAAATTTTAAGCCGTTACTCGACATGTAATTACTAGATTTATGCTTCATTATATGATGAAACATCAACTTCATCATCAATTTCAATGATACATTTTTTAATATATTATTATATATTACTATTAATATGTTTACATAATGCATATAAATGTGTTTATAATACATAAAAATAAAAATCTATTTAGTTTATGTTAATATATCAAGAAGTGTACTTAATATTAACTTTATTACATTAACAATATTATATAATATTTTATAGTAACTTTCTATATGTTTCGTTGTTATACATTATGCATAATAATTTCATGTTGGATATAATATAAGCGGACGTTTGCGGTTTCTTGCGATTCGTACAGAAAAGCGGATGCAATTTATTACGAGGAGAATTCTACGAGATATTTCGTTGTTTTGCTCGCACGCTTTAATGACTCGTGCAATAAGGTCAGTCAAAATTAAACGTATAATTTACCGGTTTTCGCGACAGGTTAATCGCCATTTGTAGAAAGCCTCTGGAACGAACAGATGAAACTCGGAAAGTGGGGGAAAAGAGTTATAAAAAAATATATAATAGGGTGAAAGAAGGCGCTGAAGCCTACTTTAGATAAAACGTTCCCTGATGCTTTATGCTTTATGATGCCATATATCCTGGAATTTAAACACACTTTTAACTGGTAAGAAATGAAAAAAAAAAGAATATTATCTTTCTGTGATGTGAACAAAGAGGCATCTTGTCGATGACTAACGAAGAAAAAAACAGCGATAAAAGACCATCTGACGTACCTTTTTATCAAACATTCGGTTTATTATCGCGGTATTTTCCGAACATTAGTAGCTCGTAAAACGTCGCGATACGAATCAATACGTGCTATTTCTGTCGACATTACTAAATTGAGCCTGAGATGGATCTTTTTTGTAAAATTTTCACAAAGTTTTCAGCAAAATTTCTTTCAAGTCAGCAAGGATTTTTAGCTTCGGAAACCTAAAAGATAACACGTCACTTCTTCTGACGTATCTAATCGATATTACTGTAATGTTTCATCATATCAGTGACTAATTGTTATATTATTACTGTAACTGGCAAAGTTTTCCGTTACACATTATTACACATATATTCACGTATTTATATTTTGACTAAATATAAATACGTAAATATATGTGTAATAATGTGTAACGGAAAACTTTGACGTGAATTTATTTTATCTACAAATATGTTACCATCTATCGTTATTCTAATATTTTTATATCTTTCTATTTAAATAATTTTTATATTTTGAAAGCGGTAGATAGATTTGAGTATCCCATTACTATTTCACTTCTCTCATTTCAGCTGCATCTGATTTTCTCTCCCATCCGACCCCTTTGCTCAACGATATTCAATCTTTCGCAATTTGCTTGTTATTTATTTTGTTACTTTTATCAGTGTTCTGTATGTCTAGTCGTCATCCTTCTTTTAAGAGAACGGCTTACGTAAGAGGAAAATATCTTCTTAACCAAGAATGCTTCTTTTACACAGTATATATATATATATATATATATATATATATATATATATATATATATTTGTAGAACTAACGACCAAGGAACATTTAAATTCAAATTTAAAATGTAAATAATCTCTAATAATCTAAATATTATACATTGGATTTTTATTTATATATCAATTTAGATGTTAGCATCAAGTATAAATATCTGTATCGTAAAAAGCTATTTATTATATGTATACTATGTTCTAATCTAATGTCACTTTAATTGTGTCTTCCATCGATTAATTATTCTCATTACACACTGTTATGCTGTTTTTGTCAGATTATTTTAATTATACAATTTATATATTTCCTTCATTTTGTATTTCGTTTTGATTACATTCAAATAAAATTAATTTGATAGATTTATACTTTATGTAACGTGTCACGGTAAGTCGCGTCGTCCTTTCATTCGTATTCATCAAAAACCCGCTTTGTAATGGAGCGAAAGCTTCGTGGTTCTGCCGACCTTAACTTCGACCACATTCCATTAAACACGGAATCATTAATCTCACAAAATCACCCATTACCGTAACTCTCGTTCTAATAGCAACGCAATCATTTATGCGCGGCAACGGCAGAGGTTGCTAAATGCAAAGTCGCTGGTATTAATTGACATCTTTTATCTCTCTTTTTCATGGTGTTATCTCATAAATAAATTATAGCTTTACGATTACACTTTCTACGTTGAAGGAAATAGTTTGCCTCTCTTATTCTTCCGCCAGATAATTTTGACTTTCTTTACGACTTATTTTACGATCCAATCAAAATTTACGAGCAATTTTGTACGTATTCGAAAAACGACAATGCCACGATTGATCGATACCAAAGTGATCGACTACCAATATTTTCGATAATAAATATTTCTTCAGACATTTTCTATTTTTTACTTGTCCTTTGAAAATGTGGAATCGTATTTTTTCTTACTAAAATTCTAACTTATAACATGCGGTTAAGAAAAACAGACAGACATTCAAAGTGCAGTTTGAAGACTCTCTGCCAAAATTGAAAATCCAAAGATCAGTCAAGTCTAAATAATTTAGTTCTCTACCAACCTAAGACACCTGCTGACGGTGATCCATGATTTTTGCTCGGTCATTGCGGCGCGCAGGAGCCTCGGCCCGCAAATCCTAACGAGGACGTTGGTGCTCATCGTTGCGGTATTTCGTCTCGAGTGAGGTTCACGAGAGAGAGAGAGAGAGAGAGAGAGAGAGATATCTCGATCTTTTTGCGCGTTTCGAGAGAGCGCACGAGAAAAAGGAAGGAAGGAAAAAGAACGAAAATAGAGCGACACCGCGAAGAGAGAGAGAGAGAGAGAGAGAGC